AATAAACATTACATCATGTAGATCATTCCTTCTCCTAAAAGTTTATCCTTTCCGGTTAATTTTATCCAATCATGTGACTTTCTATCGTTTGATCTTTTATTCCATATTATTCCTCCATATTATGCGATTACTTCAGTATCTATGGCTACAACGTTCCACTTAGTTCCAATGGCGTTTAGAACTCTTTCAATGCGAAATCCTCATTGTAAATTTAATGTTAAATCCTTTTCATTTAATCGTCCATTACTCCTCTTTAAAATTTTTTTTGTAACTTGGGATTTAATGGTTTGACCTTGCTTACGAGGTTTTAATGCACAAAGTAATTCCAATGTTCTGTAAGATTGCACCATGGAAACAAGGAATCTGAGCTGACATCTCCGAGCAACTTCTTGAGAAATTGAGTTCTTTATCAAACTATTGATTGAATGCCAGACGTGAGCTGATAAACTATTAATAGTTGCTTTCAACATAGAAATTCTTTCGCCTTCATTGACAGATAAAAATGATTGTAATGAATAGCTTGGTGTATTTAATATAGCTTCTACAGACGCTTGTCTGTCTGAAAGGTATCCAAAATTATTATTAGTCACAATTTCAATAATGGATGTTGGTTTGCCAAAAGGAGTCCTTTCAGTTTTATGCAAGTCTACCAAAAGAGCACTCTTAAAGGTAGAAAATTCGTCCTTATGATTAATAAAATTTAAGTAATCAATAAGTCAATTCCTATAATTCCCGGAATGTTTAAATATTAAATTATCTCTCATCGGAGGATTTTCAGGTAGCTTTTCGATACATTGAAGAAGCCAATATATGTCTTTGGCAACCAATTCAGCCGTAATATTCAGCAGTTTAACAGATTTGTTAAAATATTCAACTCTTATTCTGAGATTTCCGGCTTTTCGTCTTTCCTAACCTATCTGACTAAAATTGTATGGAATTGAGATCTCGTTAACTTTCGTCTCTACAATCCTAAGATCACTAACTGATCGAACGTGCAAAATTCTATCTGATTTCATATATTACATCAATCCAGTTTTAACGTTTATTGTAAATGACTTAATATTGGTTTCTTTTAATATATTTCAGAGCGTGAATGAGATGTTGAATACATTTGTATTCAACTTATCAGTGACTGTTTCCGCAAGTTTGACATTATCTAAAATTTAACAAATTATTAATGACCCAACTGATTAAAATCTTTCATACTAATATTATACCTTTCTTATTTTTTTTAATATTATTGTTGTCGCTTGTACCTTAAAAAAAAAAATCCAAATTAGTAAGATACTAATCAATATCAGTCATACAAATATATCAAAATCTTTTGTAATATTATATATGTCTTTCTTGGTTTTTTTTGTATTTTTAATATCATTATCATTTTTTCTTTTATTGTTGTTGTCTCTTGTGCCTTAAAAAAAAAAAATCAAATTAATAAAAATACCAATCAATATCAGTCATACAAATATATTAAACATACTTGTTGAAGAAATCATTTCGAGAAACCTTATTGTGGATTAGATGGAATGAAGGTAATATGAGTTAAGGAAAGTAAGTATTAAATGAAACAAAGTAAGGTAATGAAACAAATTTTTTGAAAGAGAAATTCAGATTAGAATTCGTTCTTAAATAATGTAAAATTTTCACATGCAAGTCAATTATCTCGGGAATGATTAATCACATTTAGAACTAACTAATTACAGAAAGTACACACCTAATTATTACACTAATTACAATTAGAATAATTATACATTTTTTATTTGCAACCAGTCATGTGACTTACAGTAATTACATTTGATTAATGTATTTTTTTTAACAAGATTTTTAAGATTGTTAAATTAAAAATTTATATGAATTTAATTTCATCATTCAATCTCTTTATCATTGTGAATCTCACTACCTTCAGAACAACTTGAACGATGTTATTACATTAAATACAGTAAGTCACGATTTTAGGTATATTTATGAGAACTGAATACGACGGTGTTCTACTTCAATCATTTCAGCAATCTTAGTTTGATCTTTCGCACATATAGTTGGTTCCATATAGTCATATATACATCGCCATTTACTAATTGATTCATAAAAATTTGAGGTATTAATTTCTAAGAGGTTACAAGAATTTTCACTGTAATTTCGCACTTTCTGAAGAAATCTTATTGTTGAACCCGCAAGGTTAAATGTGATCCACCTTACAGCAAGGATGCTAATTGAGATAAGTATTACAAGAAAATCAACAAAAGTCCCCATTGTAGCGACATTACGTTATATTTTATCTAGAACTTTTGTAACTGATTGGACCATCCCAATAAATATAAGTTATTTTTCATCCATAGTTTTATTCACCATATATCGATTACAGTCCAACATCCAACTTTAATTCCATGTTCTTCCACTTCTTTCAAAAGGGTTCTAATACCAGATAAGTTTTACTAGTTGATGATATTTGGAATCAAGAACCTTCTTTTTGTAGTACTTGAGTAATTACTTTGTTTGACGACTTTCTTGTTTTTAATATGAGCATTGAGTTCATCGAAAGAAAAATTGATCCATTTATTGAAATTAGACATCTGATTATATTCATGACGAATTGAATCTGTTAATTCTCCATTTGCATTTAATATTATGGCACAATCAATTTGAACAAGTAATATTTGTAACACCATTTTTTGGAAATCATCATTTTAGAGAATTGTATATTGAACTTTTGACTTTTCATTAAGGATCAAAGTATCATATTTTGCAAAAATAGCATACTTTAATCCAAAAAATCCATGTCATCTTTAAGGGTATTTGATTTGATTCGTTAAAAGAATTTTAGTTGGTTGATTTCCAGTCAAATCAATGATACCAGTATTCATTGTTGGCGTATTATAATTATCATTAAAAAATGATGTCAAAAAGGTAGTGTGCATTCTTTTTGATTCAATTTCTTGTGTTATTTTTTGGGAATTTTCGATATGTGTTGGTGTAATAATATGTTCCTTTAATCTGGTTCCATCACTAAACGGTGCAGAGTTATTAATTTTTGACAACTTTGACAATAAACATGCTTATTATCACTAATAAATTGTAGGATTTATCCTCTAAAATCTTTTTAAATAAAAATTTTCCCAATAAAACAAGATTTTGAAAAATTTCTACTATCTTTTGTTCTGTATTTTCATCTCGAGTTCTTTTGGCTAATAAATTTTCACTTTGAACTACTAAAATTTAATATAAATTACTTAATTATTTTACACATTTAAATTAATACATAAGAGCGACATTTTCACCAGTATTAGATGCAGTGCTTTTTCCATTTCCTTGAATAAAGTTATTGTTGTCAGGCTGGATGTGTAGTCACTACGTTCCTCCACCTCAACCTCACGGCCTCGCAGTACCTACTTGGACCCTATGGGCCCTGGTCATACCCCATATATACTACCGCCATGGCCACAGTGACCATGACTGGTCACACTACTTTCCAACTCTTTTTTTTTCTCCATTTTTTCTTATATATAAAAACTACTATGACCACTATGACCACTATGACCAGACTACTAAAAAGTGGATAAAAACACGAATAAAGCCAAAATCAGACAGAATATCCGGTCATAGTACTGTTCGAAAAACTTATGATAATACTATGGCCACCTTAGTTAGCCCTCAGGCTCCAAACACCGATTCAAGCTATAACCACCCTTTATCTACTTACCTGGGACACTGATGATCGCCAAACTATGACCACCGAACTATGACCACCGAATTATGACCGCTGAACTATGACCACCGAACTATAATTACTGAACTATGATTACTGAACTATGGCCACTTACCCCGTCTGAAAAAATAAGTAATTGAACAATGGGTATTAGGAATAGAGCGTATCCAGATAAGTTTAGAAGACAGTACTAATCTGTTTTCCTCTTTTTTGCCTCCTTAAGGCATTTATCAATATACTGCTTACACGTGTCATCGGCATCTAAAATTTTCTGTTCAAGTTTCTTGCATTGCCGATTGTAAGCCGTCTGATGCCTTTTGGCAGCAGTTTCTTTCTTCTTCTCCTTAGACTTCTTTTTAATCACCCAGTTTACCCAGTAAAAGTATTCTTATGCATGTCACAAACTGTACAATCACCATGTAGTTGATAACGTTCATTTGTGGTCATATCTTGTATTTCACTAGCAGTCTCAGTTTCCTTCTTGCACTTTAGACAGTAAAATCGTGTCATCTTGGGATTTGAAGTCTAAAATCTTTCCTTTAATTTGTCGTAATATGTTACACTTAGAGAATTACTATAAGTACTACAATCTCTCCAGAGTATCAGCACGAATTCTAAAAGGTGAAGAGCACTACAATCTATACAAAAAGCCCCTAAAGGAGAAGTCATCAAAGCGTTGTATGGAAACCAAATACAACGCATCAGGCAGATCTCGCAGAGATGCCAGTTGACCCCAAAGGATTCCACTATTTTCTTGTAGTAGTAGAAGTTGCAGGTAAACGAGTTGATGCAGAATCCCTAAAGGATAAGACTGCAAATAGGGTTCTCAATGGATTTGGCAAAATCTACAGAAGAAATCGTATTAAGCCACCAATACATCGACTGGAGACAGACTCTGGATCAGAATTCACCAATGATCAGGTATGTAATTTTTTCCTGAACAGCCTAGAGGTGATGATGAGGTTCGGAGAGCCAGGTAGACATAAACAGCAATTATATGCTGAAAGAGCTATCCAAGCCATCCAAGAACCCCTTCTCAAACGAATGGCCGCATAGAAGTTGAAGACCAGTGTGACATCCGTGGAATGGTTAGAAGATTTCCGTGATGTAGTTAGTAAAGTAGATGAACTCTGGCAAAGAAATCCCCAAGACATTCTGACAGGGTCACCCAAAGTGTCAAAAAAGACAGACCTCCTCTCTGAAGGAACACGTGTCAGAGTCAAGTTAGATGAACCTATTTCTGTACTTGGTAACAAACTTCACAGAAAATTCCATACAGGAGACATAAGATGGAACCCAAACATTCGTGTAATTAAAAAAATGATACTCTCACCCGAACAGCTTCCTACATATCTCCTTAACGGACCACATGGTCGATTAGGTGTATCCAGATGTGCATATACCCAAAAGGAATTGCAAGTAGTTCCTATTAATAAAAAGCCCCCACCTGACTCTGCAATAAGAGGACAACTTGAAAGATTTGTTCCTGAGCAGATACTTCAGCATCGCATTAGAAAAGGTCAACATCAGTACTTGGTCAAGTGGGAGCGATACCCAGATATAGAAGCCACTTGGGAACCTGCTGACCGGTTGGGAGAGGATGTCCCTGACTTAATTCGCAAGTTTTGGGAATAAAAAAATAAAAGAATTAAAGGGCCTTATTTTTTATCTCTCGATTAGCATCAGGAACTATCAGAATAAAAATATTCTTCCCATCACAGGTAAGGGCAATATGTTCACGCGATTCATGGACATCATAGTTGTAACGTTTCAAACACGTCTGGCTCAATCCAATTTCCCTATGCTTGTAATCATTTAAGACTGCAAGGTCCTCAGTGATAATACATTCAGGAGTGGGTTTGATTGAAACTTCTTTTACCATGCCGAATGTCCTACCTGTTCCTGGAGTACCATATATGTTGTGTGTAATACTCTTGTCGATATCCAACCCTAATTCCTCAGCAGCTTCTCTTTGAATAAAAAACACATTAGCACAAATGTCTGCTAAACACTGAATTGCTATCCCACTAACCTCCCTATCCAATGCTAAAAGATCTTTAGTATTCTCCAAACGAGCTATGTCAATATCCATAGGATTGTCTTTCCTGATATTCTCTTCTTGTTTCTTCTCAGCTAAATCCTAAACCTCTGGAATCTCTATGACTTTTCTAGCAGACATTATCTCCTTCTGAAGAATCTCACGGAGTAATTTCCTAAAGTCTGCAGAGTGTAGACCTTAACAGGCTTAATAAGTCATTTTTAGTAATATCTTTTGCAGGTGTAGACTTACTACCAGTAACTTTCACAGGAATCTTAACAGGGGTTGCTTTGCCCCTTAAGGGCACACTAGAAGAGCTAACTGCTGTCTTATTCAGGGACGACTTAAGAAGTTTTGAGATACTCAAACCTACTTTTTTTTTGACCCAACACGAACCATATAGACATCACCATCTTTTTCTCTCAATTCTACCTTTTCACCAAAACTCACAGTATCAATGTCTATAGCATTATCATTAAGATCGAGATTTCTCATTGCTCAGGTCAAATCCAGATCATCACGTCTATCTTTAGCCTTCTGAAGTTGATTTGTAAGTATTTTAGACGTTCCACGTTTATATCCCATAATAAGATCAATAGCATTTTGATGATCATCTAAAGTCCAAGCAGAAGCACCAGGATCATCACCAACATCAGGTTCTACATAACTATCATCCCAATCAGGATTCTGATGATCCTGAATAACATGTCTCTATGGTTTTGATTGAACAGGTTAAATCTGCTGTCTATAGACTGGTGGATTACGAACTGGTCGAGCTTGTAATTGTTTAAATTGCACCTGAAAATTCTTGGTAAGTTCCTCAGCTTGAGCCTTAAATAACTCTTGTAATTGTTCTTGAGTAATTCCAGATGACTTTGATGTCAGTACGACAGGTTCCTATTTTTCTAACGGAGGTTGAATTACATCACTGTAATCTGCTCGAACTCGTCGATTTTTATCTTGTAACCCTAAACGCATTTCAGTCCTTCTTCGTTTTAAATTTCTCAGATGTTTAACCAAGTCATCTGGATTAAGATTGTGAAACCTTTCTGCTTCAAAAATATTATCAGCTGAAAGACCTTTAAAGAACTGTTCGATAATAAGATCATCAGTTAAAACTGCCGCCCGAAATTAGGGAATTTTACCATTTGTCGAAACCGAAATGGTAAAATTAATTTAGGAAAAATACTTAATTCCGAAATGCCAAAACTATTCCGAAATTCTGATTGGCTGTTATAATATCACGTGACCAAAATTAAAATTTTTACCAAAATTACAACTGTATTCTATTACCATAATTCTGGCTCCGTAGCGATCTTCCTGACACGTGTAGCTTCGTTTTAAGCCTATGTTTGCTTTGTGTAACATATATACTATATAAGGAAATTATGCGTCTTTATGCACTAATGTTACACAAAGTGACATAGGCTTAAAACAAAGCTACACGTGTCAGGAAGATCGCTACGGAGCCAGAATTATGGAATTAGAATACAGATAAAATTTTAGCAAATTTATAAAGTCATGTGATTTTATAATAGGCCAATCAGAAGTTTCGGACAATTTCGGGAGTTTCGGAAAGATTTCGGGATTTCGGAAGAATTTCGGGATTTCGGAATTAGTTTCGGAAACAAAATTCTGGCCGAAATTATTTCAGAATTAGGAAATAATTTCGGGCGGCAGCTTTAGTAGTAATAGCAGTGACTATCAGGATAGTAAGCTGTTAAGGGTACTGAAATCACCCCTTTTTGTTATAAAATTTGAAATAATTTTATAGATTTTTAATAGAAGTTTGCTATTTACCACCACTGGTGGTCAGCACCAGTATCACGTGATTATAATTAATTAATGAAAATTAATTATTTTATTTGTATAATTTTTTTATACGACCGACTAAAAATAAAAAATTGTGTACACCTTTAATTTTTAAGAACACCCCAGTCAAATAAATAATAATGGCAAAAAGAGTATAAGGAATAAGAAAGAACAAAAATAGTAATAAGAAACAATATAGGATGAAATGATAATGGAAAAAGAACAATAGGAGACAAAATAACAATGAAAAGAAAAGTATAGAATGAAATGATGAAGAAAAAGCAATATAGAATGAAATAATGATAGAGAAAAAATGATATAGGACATGATGGTGATGAAAGAAAATTATAAAGTGATATAGAACGAAATGGTAATAAAAGGAATGGTATAAAGAAGAAATTATAATGATGAAGTGATATAAACCGAAATGGTAATGGAAAAGAATAATAGAAGATGATACAGAAGAAATAGCAATGAAAAGAACAGTATATATGGAATGAAATGATGATGAAAAGCAATATAAAATGAAATGATGATAGAAAAATAGGAGACAAAAAGGTGATTAAAGGAACGGTATGGGTTGAAATGATGATAAAAACGTAATATAGAATGAAATGGGAATAGAAAAAAATGATAAAGACGAAATGGTGATGAAAGAAATGAAATGATGATACAGAACAAAATTGTAATGAAAAAATGATATAGGATGAAATAGAGATGAAAAAATAATGTGGAACGAAATGGAGATGGTAAAAAAATGATAGGAGACGAAATGGTAAAGAAAGAAACAATAGGCATAATAGGAAAGAAAAAAAAACTATAAAGCCCAAAAAAGAAGTGAAAGTCCAACCAAAAAAAGAAAGATATATAGTTAGTTAAAGAAAATTAAGTCCCAATCCCAAAAGACCAAAAATGAACTTACTATTTATAAGGAT